CCCCTCACCAGTTTTGTTAATCCCTCCCGGCTCCGCTGGTAGGTGCTCAGTGGTCCGAAGTTCCCCTTTCAGTTCTACTTCTCCTTCCGGTCCCTCTCTCGCCACCAGTCCATCTTCCGCGGCACGGCCTCACTGAGGGCCCGCCGCAGCAGCTCGGCCCGGCCCCGCCGCGTGTCCATCTCGACGGTCAGGCCGGCCGGCCGCTCCGCCGGCAGCCGCCGCAGCTGCTGACCTCACCAGGTGGCCACCGCAGCCGGGTCACCCAGCAGGGGCTTCAGGTCAGACCTGGTGAGGAGCCGTGTGAGCGGCGTCACGTCGAGCGTGACGGCGTCGCCGACCGGTGACACTCAAGGCCATGTACAGGTAACACTGCTGTTGGTGTGCCCCCGAGTACATGTGGTGGTACCACTGGAGCAGGTGGGGTCCGCGCGGGCCAGGTGGGGGATGGCGTAACTCCACCAGCTCTCCCAGCAGGGAGCCGTGGGGTGGAAACGGATGCATTAAAACACAGCCAGCCGGAGGAGCAGCCGTCCCAGACGGAAGCGCAGCTGGCGCTCTGAGAACGGCTCCGTCTCGCCTTCCAGCAGGATGTCCAGGTTCCAAAGCTCCTCACAGGAGGCCATCAGGAGGGATGTTAGGTGCTCCCTCACCAGTCGGAGGGAGCCGGTGATGGTTCGCCGTTGGTCCGAGAGTGCAGCGCTGCGCCGCCCAGAAGGCGAAGATGCCGCCGATTAGTAGCTACTTGAGCGCTGCACTGACTGGGACTGCGCTGACTGCACATTTCATTGTCCAGATAATCGAGCCCATTTGCCGTTCGATCGCCCCAGTTTCGTTCTTCGACCAAGCTGTTCACCCAGAAGACGGTTTGGACGCCTGTCCGAGAAGCCACCACGTTTGTGACCGAGGCCAGTGCTGGTAAAGCCGACGGCCGGACCGCCACCGGCGAGACCTGTTGAAGGGGAAACAGTATAGGAAATGAAACAATCGAGGCATTAGACGGCATAGGAGGTCCAAGTATGCATGTTACACGAAAAGCAGAGGGGGAAATATTGAGAAAACAGTACTTTTTGCTTGTTTACTTTGTCTTTTTTTAATGGAATCAGCGGTTATTGCGGGAATTTTGTCGGGTAGGGTTCCCCGCATATGATACGCTCACAATACAAAGGTAGATTTTCCTAGATTGGTGGGGGGGGGCGTCGTAATGGATTTCAGGGTTAGAAATATCCGCTTTTCCTAAACGTAACACATCTTGATTAACATTGAGATAACACAATTAAGGTAAGTCACATCGGTGACATGTCGCATTAGGCGAAACGAAAATACTCAATTAAAGTTGCTTCTTCGCACTAAGAAGTGCGGTTTGGCGGCGCACTAAGAAGCGCGGCTGGTGTAGTAGCAATAGTCTGCTCTACTGGACTCCTGTAACATAGTAGCCGACGTACGCCATCACTAGATTTGGAATCCAGTGGCGTGTGGTCATGATCAGGTGGTTGGTGTTGTACGTGATGTGAGAGTCGAGAAACATCTCGGACTCGTTGACACAACGTATGACGGCGTCGGAGAGGTGGTCCTCGTTGGTTAGACTGTCAGCTTGGACGTAGTTGTCCTCTTCCTCCGTGCCAATGATGACGAGTGGCTGTCCTTTCCACGCGTATCGGCGCGGTGACTCGGCACACATGTAGTACTTCTGTACTCGATGGTGGAGTGTCCTGCCACTTTCGGATGAGGTCTGGGTCTGGTATCCACCAGGGTGGTGGGTTCTCGTCGGGTCGGCGTGGGATGCGGATGTCGTAAACGACTCCGTTGGTGTGGGATTCCCATCTGCCTAGTGTGTAGACGAGGTCTGCGAGCGGGCGCGGCATCAGGATGGATGGTCGGAGGCGGATGCGGTGGGCCGCTAGAGGCGTACCAGTTTCGCATTCTTCGATGTTCTGAACGCGATATAGCAGGATCGTCTTCCATACTCTCACGTACTCTTGTTCGGTGAGGGGGAGGTTCGTGGTCGAGAGCTCCAGGATTTGGTTGTAGGTGGCGATCGCTACTCTGTTTAGAATGTCGATGTTAAGTCTGGCCGCCACGATGAAGTTGTCACTGTCTATTCGACCGAAGCCGAGTGGGACGTTGACGGTCTGCGCAAAGGGGAGCGCGAGGGGACCCTCTTTGGCTTTGGTGGGGTCTGATTCTGATTTAGGAATATGTTGTAAAAGAACTGGTACCAGTTTGGTTGCAGTCTGTACACGAATTACCCATTTTGTTACGGCACTGTCGATATTCGTCAAAGTTGGAAGAGCTATTACGAAACACACCCGAATGACAACGGATTCCTGTATTAAAGGGACAGTATCACCATTTTGATGAACTTTGACATTGCATAGGCCCCACCTTTCTGGTCCGGGAACTGAAGACCGATCCTCGAAGCTCCGCACCGTTATCCCGCTATCGCCGCTCAAAGTACGAAAGGTGTACCACACTTTGAATCGTGCTTCACTATCTTCACTGTTTAAATGTTTGCGCCGTTTTGAATTGACCGCCAGTAATAAAACTTTTACCCTGGTCATTTCATCAAATTTTATAAAGCCAAAACGTTTTTCGCACTTATTCATCACCGTTAAATTCATTAAATAGTCGTAGGCAATTTCCGCTGTTTCCTTCGGATTCTAGCGGCTCAACAAAGGAATTCCTCCAGCTTGAATCACAATCTCCCTCCAATGTATGACGTTTATCACGTGATTGTCACGTGATATTTTCTCCCATTGTCAATTGTCACGTCCAATTGTCACTCTCTCCAATTGTCACGTTATATTTTTATAGAGGCCTCCACGGAGGCCGGTGGATGACGTCACGGAAAATGCCGCCGGGCGCAGTCAGCTGCTGGTAGGCAAAACATTCCGTGGTAGGCGTTGCGCCACTATAGGGTGCGGCGGGAATTCGAGAGGATGGTGGAGGTTAATCACGTTTTATCGTGAAAAATGCCGACTTCTTGTGCTGCTTATGGTTGCACTTCTCGCTCTGGAAAAGATAAGGTGTCTTTTTATCGGTTCCCCAAAGATAATGACCGGTTGAATGCTTGGGTACGTGCTACCAGGAGGAAAAACTTTGTGCCCGGCGCTGGGGCAAGGATATGCTCTAAGCATTTTATCACTGGTGAGTACCTAGTTAAAAAAAAACTGTGTACATGTTTAATATGAATGTCATTTCTACGTCATACATAATTGTGGAGTCAAAATGCCACAATATTTTTGCATGGCATCTCAGGCTATCAAACATATTGTCTATGGTTTGTGAGTGAAAGTTGATCCACCACCTAGACAAATTTTGATATATTTATTCAATTACAGGGGCACCAGTCAGTGAGAAAGGGAGTCCTGACTGGGTACCAAGTGTCTTCAACTTCCCGTCATCTCAGCATGCCAGCAACGTTGGGATCGGCGGAGTGAAGAGAGCAGAAAGGGCCCAACAAAGATCAGCTCAGAAACAGCATGCGTCTCTCCACCTGTCGGCTTCATCTGGAGATCAAGATGAAATGTGTACAGCCGAAGAACCAGTGTCTCAGGTGAGCTACAAACATTGGCTACTTAGGTACCTACCAGTTCAACCAGTTTTCCTGGCACCAAGAAGTAGGTAACTATCTCTATTTTGTTGATAACAATGCCTACTTTTTGTTATCTTGCAGGTCAGCATTGAAGAGGCCAGAGCTGCAGAGGCACTGCTGGAGATGTCAGCAGCAACTGGCACCCGTGAGGTTGGCTGCAATACTGATGGTACATGGGGAGAAAACCACAAGACAGTCGTCTCAGCTCTACTTGATAGAATTCATAAGCTGGAGGCTGAAGTCACATCGTTGAAGGAGGAGTGTGAGCAGCTGTTGAACAGCAAAAAGCATAACTCATTTGAGACTTTGAAAGAGAATGAAGAGGAATTTAAATTTTATACCGGGTTCCCATCCCTAGCAATGTTCATGTGGTTTGTAAGGGTTCTTTGTCTGGGGTGCGACCTTAGCAAAATATCCAGGTTGTCTGTGCACAACATGGTTCTTATGGTGTTGATGAAGCTCAGGCTTGGGACAACCAATCAGGATCTTGCATGGCGTTTTGGTGTAAGCAGGTCCTTGGTATCAAAGATCGTTCAAGGAACCCTCAGTCCAATGGCTGCAATGTGCAGGAGGCTCATCATCTGGCCATCAAGGGAAAGCATACAGGCCAACCTCCCTCTCTGCTTCCGTTATCCCGAACTTCGAAAGGTCAGAGTGGTAGTTGACTGCTTTGAAATTTTTACAGACAGGCCAAGGCATCTCACATCCAGAAAGAAAATGTTCAGTTCCTACAAACACCATAACACATGCAAGGTTCTAATTGGTGTGTCACCAGCTGGGGCAATTACATTCTTGTCTCCAGTCTGGGGAGGTCGATCATCAGACAAAAAGATCACACTGTCATCTGAGCTCATTGACATCCTTGATCCATTCGATGTGGTGTTGGCGGACCGGGGGTTTACCGTTTCTACAGAAATGGCTCTGTACAATCTCAAAGTTTTGACACCAGCATTTGTTCGTGGTCAAGCCCAGCTTCCTAGGGCAGAAGTAGAGAAGTCTAGGCTTTTGTCTCGAGCTAGAATCCATGTTGAAAGAGTCATTGGTAGAATGAGAACGAAGTTTCGCATTCTGAAGTCTACATTGCCAGTCACCATGTACACGCAGGTAGATGATGTTGTTTGTGTGTGTGCAGGTATCATAAACCTGCATCCAAGTGTGGTTCCGTGAGATGCCCCAAAACTCCATGGAATGCATGATTAGATGGTACTAAGTGCTGGTAACATGCTCCGATCATGTATTGAAAACAAACTCAATTGAGTTTGATTTCATGACAGTGACATTGTTGATGAATAAAACAGACTTGCAAATGATTTGTGTGAGGTCACAAACAGATGTTATAGTTCGTAATCAGCATCACCTGTAGCACCAGCATCACGCCATAACCCAAACCCTTGTTATAAAGATAAGCTAGCACAAAAGATATATTTGTCAGCCAGACAATGATGATCAATGCAGCCAGCATAGCAAAATCAACACGACCATCTGGTGTCAGTGACAGAACAACCTACATGTGCACTAATGGGCACCCGGCACAGTCGCTAGCTATGACATCACTTCAGGAGTGCTGGCACAATCTCTTTCACATAAAAGGTTTCAAGAACCTTCACCAGGTAGTCACCCATGCTCTCCATGTACTTTATCACCAGAACATGGGGCTTCTGCCCCGGCACATACACACAAAATGCACATGACTTTAGCCCACAGACCATCATCTGTCCCTGCACCTGCATCATGTACGGGTGCTCTGCTTTGAGGTGCCCATTCTCATCTAGAAACCCAGCCTCCTGCGGAGACTTGTCCTTCAGGCTAAAGGGGCACTTCACCTCCAGAACCCATGTCCCACAGCATGCACACTCAATGATACCATCTGGGGAGGCAGCCAGGTAGGGGTGGTCAGGGCTGACGAACAGCCCACACTTACGAATTGTCAGCTCACTATGCATAGAGCTCAGAACCCCTTCTACAGCAACACAAGCATCTGCCTCGTGTGTATGTCCCCAGACTACAGCAGGCACTGTAAGCTTACAGAACGCTGGCTCCACGATCTTACGCACCAATGATGCACTCTGTCGTCCCCCCTCGACATGGCTCACCACCTCACCAAACACTGAAGCAGTCACCCTTCCATGCCTCTGGTTAAGCCACTCCTTCGATCCTCCCTGATCCACAGTAGCTCGCTCGACGTTCCCTATCACATCACTCGGGTACATCTTCTTCAGTTTGTTAACCAGCATCTCACAGTACTTCCTCGATGGCTCAGCATCACTAGGAGCTATCTTCTTCAAGATGGAGAACATCTTGTAGATGGGATATGGCAGCTCAGTCCTGCCATCCACAACATCACCACTGACTGGCAGAGAGCTTTGCAGCGCACACCCAGCAGGCAGATCCTGCAGCTCTGTCTGAAATGCAGCATCAGACATGATGAACTCGACGCTGCTTCGCTTGGCAGGAATGCCCATGTCTGCTGCAATGTCAAGGACCTTGCTGGGCTCCACCTTCTTCGTAGCTGTCTGATGATTCCATTGACAGGCCTTGCTTGTTGGTGCATTCTCTGTCAGTCCGTGGAGTACGGCTGCTTGGATCTTGTAGAGCACACCTGCCACATGGCTGCACACTTCTCCAAGTCCTGCCATGCATTGGCAGTGGGCAGACATAACACTGCCATTGGGGTGGCAGAGCACCCATGCATTATACGACTTTGAAGCCGTCTGACTGGCCTGTACCTCTGCCTTCACGAAAACACCACTGGTATCCACTGAGCAGAGCTTGAGTGGGCCAACATGACTAGACAAAAACACATTCCAAGCATCTAGTGACTTGAAAGCTTTCAAGTTGTCGGACGTGAAAGTGCCAGAAGTGGAGACCAGATACGCAAATATATCTGGAAACAGCACGAGTGGGAGCTTCTCGAAACTGTCCGAGATCCAGTAGGCCTCATCGATCTTGTACGGATCAGGAAATACCTTCTCTCCCAGGCAGAGCTTTGCTTTGTATCGTGAGGAGTCGTACATCACGAACAAAAACACAAACTAGAGAAAAAACTATCGAAAACAGCTCTCACAATCCGATAAACCACGAGACGCCAGTGCAAATGGCCGCGATCGCCCGGTTTGTTTTGCCTACCAGTCAGCGTTGCCAGTTACGAAAAATAGTTTGTGACGTCACCGTGGAGGCCTCTATAGGCAATACCTAAGGCTACCTCTCCCTAAGGACAACTCAATCAGAAGAACGACCGCGTAAGCGTAGCGTCAATAATGTATTATCTGCGCCAGTTCTGTAGTAATTTTGCATGCTTCCAAACTGGCGGCCATGCTTGTATAGTGGTGGTTCGCTCATGAAAATGAATCATGAAAATGAAATGTGGTTGCAATATTTTTCACCGAGTTCGGTCCTCAAACTATGCTTTTCTGATTCAGAAAAATAAGAAATGCTAGTAAAAAAAAAAAAAATCAGCTCCATACATGGATTTTTTTTTCGATGATACTGTCCCTTTAACTCATCGATCAGATAAACGTACCTACAAGATATGCAGTATTTGTACAGTCGCAGTTGTAAAGCAATGCATATGAACACAGCCGGACAGTTTCATAAAAGGTGCTTCCATGGTGCATATCCAGCATAACATGCATGCTTTCACAAACGCACAAGACATAGGCGTAGGAACAGGGGGGGCCGGGGGGGCCATGGCCCCCCCACTTTCGGAGGTGGGGGGGCCAGCAATGTTAACTGGCCCCCCCACTTTTTGCTGTCTGTACCTAACCTACCACCCGGTAACTTGACAACTATTCAGCTTGCCCTTTAATGAGGATTCCTTTTTGTTTCTACAGCGTTATTGGCCGCAATTTCCTTCACTCAATGAAGGAAACCATATCAGAGACAAGACTGTGAGTCCTGGTGACAACATTTTGTTGAATACGAGGCGCGGGACAGCGAGCACTAAAAAGGTATAGGCAATACAGAATACTAAGACAATACTAGCACGGTGCAGGAGAATGCGTATACAAACGACCAACGCTTGACCTTATCTGCAAGGGGTCGGCATAGTTCGTCAAAGGCGTACTAGCTGGGGGCCAGGGTGACCGTGCCTCAGCCTCGGTTCAAACAGCATGGGGGCCAGCAATGTCTGTTTCTGCCCCTCCCCCTTCCACTTTCAGTGCAGTGGCGGTCGCAGAGGGGGATCAGGGCCATGCCCTTCCCCCCTCCAAAGGCTAATCAGGGGGCCATCATATCATTTGGCCCCCCCCCCCAAACAACCAATGGGCCCCCATGGGCGTATGGGGCTCTGGCCCTTATTCGATTGTCACGAGACTCAAGAATCCCACGCTAGCTATTAACAGCTCCCAAACCAGTCTTTGAGGGTCCTACACTGATCTCGGAGGGCCCTTCAGTGGCGGTCAAGCGCCCACATTGACCGCTGAGAACCCACATTGACCTCATTTGAGGGCCCCTAAACCGGCCTCAAGGGCCCAGCCGGCGTCTGAGGGCCTCACACCGGCCTCTGGTGGCCTCATTTCTGTCTCTGGGGTCCCAAGACTAGCCTTTAGGTGCCTTTGAGGGCCCCGCACTGAATTCTGAAGACCCGATGCCGGCCTCTAAGGGTCCGCATCGGCCTCTGAGGGTCCACCTTGGCCTAAGGGGTCCAACGCCGGCCCATGCCGGTCTTTTAGGGCCCCACACTGACCTCTAAGGGCCCATGCTGACCTGTAAGGACACGCATTAGTCTCTGAGGGCCTTGCACGGGATTCTGAAGACCTGATGCCGGCCTCTGAGGCCCATCTTGGTTTTTGAGGGTCTTCTGCTGGCCTCTGGGGTCCAACACCGGCCCATGCCGGCATTTTAGGGTCCCACACTGACCTCTGAGGGCCCATACTGGCCTGTAAGGACCCACATTAGCCTCTGATGGCCCAAGTCGGCATCTTAAGGTCTCATCCTGCCCTTTGCAGGCCCTGTACTGGTCTCTGAGGGCCTTAACCCTCGCAGGCTGGGGGGGGGGGGGGGCGGGTGCTGCCCCTCCATAGGTTTTTTTTTGCGATAGCTCCGAACACGCCGGCGATAGAGAGCTGAAGCTTGGCATACCTGACCTTTGAATCAAACGGGATCTTTCGACACCAACCGCATTTTCGGGTCAGATCAGGTCACTGACCCATGTGGTCATAAGTGAACCTCTGCACGGTCTTCAGATGTCGCAACTTCGCAACGCCCTCACTGCCAGAGGAGATTTCACAGGGAAATGAACCTTGGAGGACCTAGTATCCAATAGGAGTCTCTCAACTTGTATAATGTATATCTCGGATTTTTCCTAAAGTTCATATGAGGTCAGGTCATTTTCGTGACCTCACCATTAGGTATAAGTCAATGGGGATAAACTGAAAACTTTTTCTGGCGCCGGGAACGATCGATCTCCAACTATCTCAAGCACACCGAATCGTGATTTCATGCACTCCTTGCAAGGTTCGATGCGTCACTTTTGCAATGTTGACCTTGCGCGACGTCATTTATGAAGTTATAAGGGTCTTATTAGTTTTTCGTCAATAACTAGGTACCGATCAAATTGAGCTAGCGAGTCGGGAAAGCCACCTATGGACTCAAGAAGACCTGCCGAATCGAATGATATGCGACATGACCTCCTTCGACCAATTTCGTGACCTGGGGACGCCGACCTGACCGTGACCCGAGGTCAACACCCTAAGTTTACCTCACCCAAACAAAAAGCATATCATTCGACGCGCCTGAGAGAGGCGAACACGATGCTGGCAAAATCGCGGCTCTGCGGCCATTTTTTGCGAAGTTATTCACCAAAAACGGAACCGTGCCTTGAGGCACTTGACCTGACCTCAGAGGTCACCGGTTTTTGTTTGTTTTGTTGGGTTAGGCCCTTTCGGTCCAATGAGACCATTTCAGAGCCGGAAGGATGATAGGATATAGGGGGAGACATTGGTCTGGGCACTGGGCAGGCACCCTAGTGAGTCGCCGGGGCTGAGCCCGTCCAGAGGACAGGCTACCCAGCCCCAAGGCACTCACTGCACTCGGCTACGGGGTGCGCTCCCTCGGGAGCAGCGGTGCCGCTCCAAGGGAGCAGCCCGCATGAGATAAAGTTGCCTGTCCAGCCCGGAGGGGGGTGGCGGTGTGGAGGAGAAGGATTTCAGTATCCTGAGGATAGAAGCACGGAACGGTGTCAGAGGTCACCGGTTGACCTAGGACCATAAAATCGGGTATCGATCTCTGCGTCTCGTAACGGCGCACACGCTCGTTTTACCGCGACGCGCTAGCTCCACCTGGGGCGAAACAGCGAGGGGGGTCGTACCCGCCCCCCGCCCCCTCGGCCAGCGCGTATGTAGAAAACCTATAGGACCGGGCCGTGGAGGGTTAAACTGGCCTCTGAAGGCCCAGACCGTCTAAAAGTCCCACACCGGCCTCTGAAAAGTGATAGGCAATCAGCCCAGTTGCAGTGGTCGCTGATATAAAACCTCTTAAAAACGTTATAGGCCTGGCTGAGCCTAGCTGGGCCGTTCATGCTGATTTTTATAGGTATATTGAAAAGACTCGCTTTGCACGTTTCACGCTTGCTCGTAATGAAAAAGTTGCTGGATGCCTCTGGAATTTGCATGGGTGCCAACGGCTGCGGAGGACAGGGGAACGCGTCCATCAGTTTGAGTTTATGGACGGGAGACTCCCTGAAATTTCAACCAATTTTTTTTTCTTTTTTTTGTCTCGATTTTTTTTTACCTCTGAGCATGTTTGCGAAAACAAAGTGGCCGAAATCCGAGGAGAAATCGGATTTTGGGGGTAGGTTAGGTTTTGGACCTCTGGGACCCTGGCCCCCCCACTTTTGAAAACGTTCCTACGCCTATGGCACAAGATATGCAGTATGTGTACAGTCGCAGTTGTACAGCAATGCATATGAACACAGCCGAACAGTTTCATAAAAGGTGATAAGCCAGCAGCATATCCAGCAGATAAGCCACGTGCTATCTATGCAAATACACGCCAATACAAATCACCAGTTGGTAGAGAAGTCACGTATCAATGCCCAGCACCATGTCCTTTCGCATTCAGCACGTTAGCGCTAACGTTGCCAGTCAGGCATCGGCGGCGCTTTGCAGGCGCCGTGGCTCCTCCGCAATCCTTCGGGCGCCGCCCCTTTCCCAGCCGAGCGGCGCCACGCGGCTGCCCTTCAGGCGGCCAACATTCGCCGTGTGAGGTCACACTAGCGACGCTGTAGCTTCGGACCTGCTTTCTCGGACCTGGACTAGCTATCGGCCCTGCTTTTTCAGGCCTGCTTTTGACGCTATTGTCATCTCACGACACATCGATTGCAGCATCAACCGGGTATACTTACCTGCGATGTCAGCTAGCACGCCTGTGTGTCAGTGCAGCTGGGCTGTGTAAGAACCTGACATCAAGTGCATTGCAAAACATGTATGTTTTGGTGTCACATATTAAATTCAATGTATTTTAAATGGATCGGTTTCCATCACACATCGTTATACAATTCTCCTTTCCCTGTATACTCACCGATGACGGGTCAGCCCTCCTTGAAACGGCGATCGCCGGCGGCCCGCTGGTGCCCTCGCCGGGGTCGACGGCGGCGGCTGCTGAGCCCTCGGCGTCGACAGCGGTGCTGGGACCCTGAAAAATAAACAAACAGATGCCATTAATACTACACACAATAATATAAGGCAATGTACAGCAATACACCTTTGATGTTAGCCGGTCTATTTAAAGGAATCCACTATCAGCGAATCTAACCTATAATGCACCGGCAATGCATGGATGAAATTCAACAAATTATTTTTATCGTGATCTTCCTGAATGAATTAAATAAAGTAAGCAAATTAAAGGATTGAATTGAAAGAATGATGATTGAATATTGAATGATTTGAAGAACATGTACTTACCGATGACGGGCCAGCAGCTCCAAAGATCGCCGGTGGCGACAGTGGTAGGCCGCTGGTCCCCTCAATGGGGGGAGCGGTGCCGAGTCCCTGTACGGCGCACAGAATGCTTGGCGTCAATGGATGAAATCATAATATAGATTGACTGCTTGCATAAACAATAAATAAGCAAGTGGACAGCATTGATGTTCCCCATAGCAATACACAAATATGGTGAGCTGAGCTCGCCGGCTGCGCTCGCTGGACACCTCCGCCGGCTCGCTGGCCAACATGCCGCGAACCAATCTAATGAAGAAACAACCTGCGGCTACCTACCTGCGATGTCGGCTAGCACTCCTGTGTGTCAGTGCAGCGGGGATCTGAGAACCGCCGGCTCGCTCGCCAACATGCAGCGAACCAATCTAATGAAGAAACAACCTGCGGTACACCTACCTGCGATGTCGGCTAGCACGCCTGAGTGTCAGTGCAGCTGGGACCGGAGCACCGCTGCCGGCTCGCTGGCCAACATGCAGCGAACCAACCGCTCTCGGATGGCTGTTTCAAAAATCATTGACCGCGCATGCACGTTACAGAGAGCTGGACTCCATGCAGAGGTGCGCTGGCTTGTTTGGCCACGGGTGGGGCGTTCTGGCGGCGGCCCCGGAGTAAATATATGCACGGCATACCTTGGGACGTTGTCCGTCACTGAAGGGGCATCACTCCGAGAGGCGGCTGATACGACTGGACTGAGGAGGACGTTCCGGTAGATCGGTTGGAAGCTGCGTTGTCGGGTCGTCCAGTGGGCACCATGTAGCCAGAACCGGTCGGCTTCTTCATGAATCGCAGCTGTGACCGCCTGTGCTTTTCTGCAACAGTTGGTTGCCTCAAAGTTGTCTCGTAGCCGATTTCTTGCTTGCTGCGTATCTCTCAAACTTGATATTTCGGCACTCACGTATTATGTCGGCCTCGGCAGGGGGCCCGAGGACGTACGGTTCTCCAGTAAAAGTCTTGTTGGTTTTGCTTTTTCGCCCTGAACGTTTTAAAATGTGTTGCTCGCACATCTTATGGTGCGGACCGCAGGACCCTTCTTCTCCTGTACCGATCGATAGTTCGGTCGAAGCTGGATTACGCTTCTTTTGTCTACGATTCAGCGAGCCAATCCAGCAAAAAGGTCCTCGACGCAGTCCATCATGCTGCAATCCGTGTCGCCACCGGAGCATTCCGCACCTCGCCCAGCAGCAGCCTTCTTGCTGAGGCGCACGAGCCGCCTCTATCCCTACGCCGCCAGATGCTTGGGATGCGCTATGCGCTGAAACTGCGTCAGTTCCCGACGCATCCGACGTATCCGTACGTCTTCTCCACCTACTACACTCGACTTGACAGAGCGCGACAATCGCTCTGCTTTGGAGCGCGCATGAGAGGTCTCTTCTCCGCAGCCAACATAGGTTTACGTGTCGTACGACGTAGCTGGGGTACGTCCTCTCCGCCTTGGAAACACGCAAAACCTCAAGTAGATCTCTCACTCTCCGAAGTTAAGAAGGATGACTTGCTGCCTTGTGAGGCGCGAGTCAGGGCCTTGCAACACATCGTCTCGTACGATGGTTTTAACACCGTTTTTACAGACGGATCAAAAACACCTGAGGGAGTGGGATGTGCTTTTATCGCAGGTCGCGATACCCGCTCATTCTCTCTACCTTCTTTTGCCTCGGTGTTTTCATCTGAGCTAGTCGCCATCGAGAAGGCTCTGTGTTTTATCGAGGTGTCGGACGGCCTTTCTTACTTGATTTTATCGGACTCCCTAAGTAGCCTTTTGGCGTTACGGAGTTTTAATCCAGTTGACCCGATCGTTCAAGACATTTTAGCTCGACTTCAGTCAGTGGAACAATCGGGAAAATTTGTTCAGTTCTGCTGGATTCCCAGCCACGTCGGCATACACGGCAACGAGCTGGCAGATGCGGCCGCGAGGCGCGCGGCCGCAGCCTCCTGCACTCGACGTCTGCCATTGCCGGCGCGTGATCTTTATTCGGCTGTGCGATCTTTCATTCTCTCTGAGTGGCAGGCAGAGTGGAGCCTACGTGGAGGCGGAAAGCTCCGTGAGGTGAAGCCGACTTTGGAGCCATGGAGGTCTTGCTTGCAAGACAACCGGTCCAACGAAGTGATCTTGTGCAGGCTCCGAATCGGCCATACATATGCCACGCATGGCCACCTCCTCCGCGGAGACGAGCAGGCCATTTGCAACGGTTGTTCCGCGCCTCTTACTGTCGCTCACGTGCTCTTATCTTGTCCACTTTTAGAACCAGACCGGACGCGCTACCTCGGCCGCATCGCTCCGGGTACCACTGTCCGCCACCTGCTGGGTGACGAGTCACCCTGGGTTTTATCTGGCAACATCTTTTCCTTTATCCGCGCAGTCAAATTCCAAGCGATTTACTCGACCTGACCTAAATCCTCTCTAGTCTCCTTGTCTAGTCAGTTGTCTATTACGACGCTCTTGCGTTGTTTTATTTTACCCTGTCTTTTTTATAAAGTCTTTTACTTTCTAGTCTTGATATCTAGAAAGTTTCTTCTTTTGAAACACTTGTTTTACTAGCGCGACGTTATGGGCGCAAAATGACCTTTGCAGTCGACGCGCCCTAAAGCCCCAATAAACAAACAAACAAGGTTTTGCTTTTTCGGACATATCTGGTCCTATATAATGTTCAAATGCAAAAGTATCAACCCGAATTATGTGTATGCACATTTACCACGATACTGTGAAATTGCATCGTTGTATGCCAAATACTTTCCGAGATATTCACCAAAAACCTCATTTTCTGCCGTTTGGGGTATTCTGGCCGCAATCTTCCTGGGATCGCCTATGACATCAGTAGAGCCATCTAACGAGAGGAACGCGGAAACACAGAAACATGAATGAATCGAGCGCGTAGTAAACGGTGTATGAAAGGGAGACTCGGCAGAGGCTATCCGGGTGGCCGGCGCGCGGCGCGCCCTTAGGCATCGGCCGACCCTTCGGACCGCGTGGGGTCAGAGGTCGCGCTCGGGAAGTCTCGGCTCTGGGTTTTAGCGCTGTGCAGTCAGGAAGGGAGGATAGGATAGCGCTAGCCCGACTGACTAGTATCTGGGCTGATTCGTGTGGGGTAGAAGGGGGCACAGGACGGGATGGTGGCTAGTGGTGGATGATGGGATGGTGGTTAGGTTAGTGCGTACTGCGTAGAACGTAGCTGAACATGCATTTTTTCATAGCAAACAACATGCAGCATAATGCGCGGGATTATGCCAGAACTCATACAAAAAGGAAATAATATTTCGGCCGAGGGAGTGGATGAGTGCCGTGACAAAGCATGACGATGCTGCCAAAATCGGGATGCTTTTTTGCCCCCAGTTTTTTTTACCACTAACATGCAGCGCTTGATCCGAACTTAGAGGTCCCCGACTGACCTTAAACCTTAAAATCGCACCCGTCCGGTGCGCCACCTTTTCTTCAGGGGCGCTCTTCTTGGTTGTATCTGTTCTTACCAATAACTAAAGCAAATCGAATGTTTAATAAAAAAGGCATACCTCAAACACAGTTTTATTCACATCCGGTCGTGCGCATACTTGTTTTGACCTATACCTTCTCGCATCATAATATATCACTTCAGTGCTTAACCCTCAATGGAATTTTGGGTTTTCTGCATATACCCCGGCCGAGGGGAGGGGGCGATTATGACCCCTCTCCGTCTTTTTGCCCCTAATTGAGCTAGCGCCTTGCGGATAAAACTGAGCGCGTGCGTCGTATGAGATGCAGCAACTGGTACCCGAGTTGAATGTCTCAGGTCAACCGGTAAACTCTGAGGTCAGTATAAGTGCTCCAAGTCGCGGGATCGGTTTTTGGTAAACAACTTCACCATAAGTGGTTACAGAGCCAAGATAATGGCACCATTGAGTTTTGCATGCTCAAGCGCGTCGAATGGCGTTTTGTTTTTGATGAGGTCAATTAGGTGTTCACCTCAGGTCATGTCAGGGCAGAGCCACTCAGGCCACGAGGCTGGCTCAAGGAGGTCATATCGCTTCTTTGATTCGCTAGGTCCTCACAAGTCCACTGGTGGCTTCCCGACTCGCTAGCTCAATTTGATCGGGACTTTTTGGTGAAAACTCCTGTAACCTTACTGACGTCATAAATGAAGTCGCCTAACTTTAAGAATGGAAAAGTGAATGCTGGGGCTTCCAAAGATTGTATAAAATCGCGAATTAGTGCGCTTGAGACAGCTTTAGATGGCTCCCGGCGCCAAAATAACAGTTTTCATATTTCCCAATTGATTAATAATCGTGAGGTTGCGTGACCGACCTGACTTCAGGTGACTCTTAAGAAAAATACGAGATAGCTACATACAAGTTGTGAGGCCTCTGGGAGATAGTACTAGATCATGTAAGCTTCATTCCCCGTTGAAAAGTCCCCTGGCACGAAGGGTGCTGCGACGTCGCGACATTTTGGGACCTTACAGAGGTTCACTTTTGACGTCATTGGTTAACAGCCTGACCTTAACCTTTGCACTTGTAGGAGGGTGTCGAACAGACCTCCTAGTTCCTACCCTCAGTTTTTCGCAAATAAATCGCGCAAAAAGCGGCTGATTGCGACGAAACTTTCAGTACCCTCGAGTTAATCAATATAACGCCTACCCTATAATTTGTATGACCCTGACTCAAAAGACCTTTGACTTGTGACCTGTTTTCCGAGACCATTTTTGGCCGGAATCGCGTTTTGGCGTATTTCGAGTAGAGCGCGTTTTATTGTCTTTTTGTGGCTTTAAGCGATCAAACATGTGAAAGGATGTTGATCCCATGGATTCTAGTGGGTGTCAAGGTCACGTGAAGGTCAGTCAGGTCACTGACCTTTGATGACCTTTGTTCACTCTTTCGAGTTCTACATGTTTCTAGGGTAGATTTTGGAGTTGATTTCGCATTTAAAAACCGTTTGAGCATTTAATAAGTAGTTTTGGTTCCCTCGTAACATGTGACCTGACCTGACCTGACCCGACCTGGCCTAAATGCACGAAAACATCATCTGTGATCAAAACTAACTTGAAATTCGTGGTCAGCACCCCGCAAAACCCTATAACAGCTTCACTTTACGAAGCTCTAACAGGTCCCGATTCCCCGACTTTTGAGTTATATTGACCTGTCAACCAATGACCTATGACCTTAAAATTGGGTATCATCAGCCTCCTCTCAGCCTCCTCTCCCCGCAGGGGGCTGACCGTGGTCAGAGCTGCTGCTTAGCCGGGGTAACCTGGCCCCGGCTTTGCGGCGGCTGTGACTTCGGCCAGTAAGGGGAGTAGCGCCCCCTCGGCCCCAGCTTGACGCGCGTTTGACCTGGACTTGCTTTGGTTGCCGGATGGATTGCCTGCTGGATTGGCCCCGCAGGGGGTTGGCAGTGGCCTGGGTCGCTGTTGGACTGGGCTCCTTGGGCCCTCGCCCCGCGGCGGCCCTGGCCTCGGCCAGCAAGGGGAGTAGCGCCCCCTCGGCCCCAGCTTGACCCATGCTTGCTTACGATTTGTTTTTGATCACTGGATGGACAGATGGTACGGCCCGACTTTTCTTGGTTTCCGTGGTTTTGTTTCTCTTGAGCGGTCTTTGTTTGCTTTTGCTTTGCTTCTCACCGGATGTCCGCGTTTCGTTCGATCACAGCTTTCTGATTCCTTTCCCCCTTTTTTTCGTTGTTTTTTGCACCCGCAGGAACACAGC